TATCTTCTGGTGTGGCTTCCTTGGGCAGGCAGGCAGGTCTCCAGGCAAAGCTCATCCAGAGCTTCTGGGTTTCCTGTGAGCAAAGAAGACAAAGGCAGGTTAGAATCTTGTTTCTCTCAAGAGCCAACTAAGATTCTCTTAAAATGACAGAGGCTCAGGTTCGCTAACCAAACTTGGTCAACACTGCGGCGTTGAAGGAAGGTCTGGCAGCTGCTTAAGTAGAGAAGGTCTCCTGATGGGCTGACGAGGTCCAGGTGTGCTGGAGGGCTCCAGCCCAGGAGACCCACGGCGCACTCTGCTGGAGAAAGGTGGTACTTCTCCAGATCCCAACAAAATCAGCTCAAAGTGAAGAAGAAGGTGCCAAAGGAAAAAGGTGCATGGGATTTATACAGTATTTACAGTGCATCCACATATGACAGCTTATATATATGTACATATATATATTATGTGTGTGGGTGTGTGTGTGTGGTGGGGGGGTGTCATATGTTTCCTGTAAATACCGTACCCACAAAGAAACACTGGAGAACAGGAAGAGGTCCTGAACGGCTTCAGTAGCTTAGCTGGTGTCATTATTCACTTTGGTGTTAAAACTTCAGTGAGAAACATCACAGATAGAGAGAACGTTTATTGAGTGCAGATTTTCCAGGGGAAATCAAACTGCTTGTTAGAGCAGAAAGTAAAGGGAGAAGGGAGTGGAAGTAAAAATGAAGAGAGGAAGGAGGAGGAAGCAGAGAGGGGTATGGAGCCTACAAAAAATACAGCTTTCTTCTGTTAAGGTTCTTTTTATGTTTTTCCTCTTATTTATGTTGCTGGTATTTGTTTGTTTTGCTTCCTCTAATGTAATAAGCATATAAAATACCACAGTTCTTTTTGGAGCAGATGAGAACATTCAATTAGGACATGCAAAGCTTTTTCCCTATAAAGTTTGATTTATCTCATCGTACAGAAGTCAGCGGTGGACAGCACTTAAATATGTCCTTCTATGGTGCATTTCGCTGCAATGTTGAGAGGCTGATCTGGTTTCTTGTAAGCCTGGGTAATACTGCAAAACAAAATATCTGAAGAAAGATTGATTTAGACAGTGAGATGGAAAAAAAATAAATGAAACAGAAAGAAAAAAAATTAGACAGAGGGAGCTCTTTTGTTAAGCTTCTCTTAACATTATGTCTTATTTCAGCTATGCTTTTAGTTTAAAAAAAGGCTCTTTGATGCTTCATATGTAGGGCATGATAAGCCTGTTGTCTAGGATATTTTCTGCTGATAAAGGCCTTATTTTCCTCTATTTGATATTTAGATGTTACTTGTGTCTCCATTAAAGCACTGATGAAAAGTACATGGCCATTTTATCAAAAGAAAAGCTGGATCCTTCTGGCTTATATCCGTCGCTGGCTGAACTTTAAACAAAAAATTTGTATTCTTGTCATTGGGCAGGAAGGACTAAAGCTTCCCAATTTCTCATTGGGTGTCTGTCAGGAGCTCCTCTATTAGTGGGCTTTGCGAGCTCCGTATTTGTCACAGTCAAGATAAAGTACTTGTTAAGTCACACGGAGACACATTTAAGAGGCATACATTTCACATTTATTAAAAATTAATGGGCTGTACTTTCATGTGGCATGCTTAGCAGTTTCAAAAAAAAAAAATGACAGCAGTATTTTTAAATCAATCTTAACATTGATTATTTGCTGGCATTAATTAGATAATTAGATCACTAACCTGTTTCTCATGAATACGGATGTGCTCAAACCTGATGAATAGATGTAAAACACTTGCTGGGCTGCAGAATTTCAGGATTAGAA